TCTCGCCAATAGGAGTACCTATATTCTCTCTTAAAACAGTGCGTCGTAATAGAATTACAGTTTGTAAGCTGCCTACAGAAAATAAGTTGAAAAAAGAAAAACGTGGTAGCTCTGTTGAATACGTTACCATAGTCTGAATAAAAGAGAAGTGCAGCAAAAGTGGGAATATAACGTCACATTTTATAGGCGTACTTTGCAAAATAAGTTTCAATAATATAAATAAGGTCACGGCATATAAAATGGTATATACGCAAAGTGCAAAGTGTAGATTAAATTTGGAATGAAGAAAGTTATATTATTTACAAAAAATAAAAATAAATCTTATGCTTCTGACAAAATTCTTGCACTCTAACATTGAACAAATTAAATTAAACCAATGAATAACAAGGAGGATTATATGTCGTTAATGGTAATAAACATTTTTTAATCTCTTGACATTAAAAGTAATACTTCAAAGACTAAAAAAATAAAAGATTCAAGAACTATCTCCAAAAGTTACTGTTTTCACTATAACTACTACTGGTATCATAATCATTGTCTTACCTCAAGTTTATCATTATAGAATCTATTGAGTTTTCCATTGCTATATCCGCTTTTCAAAATGAATTTTCTGCCTTTCTTACATGATCAATGCATTTTCTCCAATGTTCTCCATTTACATTTGCAACTGCATTTCAAAACAAATTTGGCACATCAGGTAATTTAATTGAGACCAGATCAGTTCAATGGGATTTAACTCAATTCAATTAAACTTTATTCAACTGTGAAAAATTTTACATAGTTTTATCTACACAATTTTTTTATTAGTCTAGTCAGAGCATAGTCTACACAACCATTCATTCTCCTTACATACATACATACATAACAATTCTCATGCACTCCTACCTTACAAACAGATTCTAGAACATTTAGGATGTAAAACTTATTGAAATTAAACATACATAGAATATAAACTTTACATAGGTAGAAACGTTACATCACATTACAGATTACAAACATTTTATTTCGCTGAATTGAGAAATTCAGCAGTCGAGTAAAAAGCATATTTTAGCAGATATGTGAGCAAGGCCGATTTAAATTTATTTACGTTTTCAATAACACCAAATAAACTAACCACGTGATTATAGCATAAGATTCCTCGGTATGTTGCAGAGTTCTGTCCCAGTGCCAGCCGTGAGTATGGCACTCTTAATTCATTCCCTTTTCGGATCCCGTATGAGTGAATCTTGTTGTTTTTAAGTGCTTTGATTCATTTATATAAATAAATGTAGTTATTGTTAAGATATAGAGGCAGGGCAGTGTTAAAACTGCCAGTGAGATAAACAGGTTTTTGCATGGTAATGAGGCAAATCTAAGAATTTAAATTCCTTTTTCTCGAGCAATATATTTTTTAAATTTATTTTTATGTTTCCTTGCCATTACAAATAATTCTGCCTTAGAAGATTTAGAAGCAGTGACAATATTTTTAGAATGGAGCATTTGGAAATATCTTCTTTATACATTTTGTTGTAGGTAGTGACTTCTTTAACCGATTATGATAGGATGCATTATCCAACACAATAACGGAGTTGGCTGGAATTTTTTTATAATGTTATGAAACCAATTTTCAAACATAGGGCCATCCATTTCTTCATGGTAATCTGGCAAAAATCCATCGGTGCTTCCAATGTGGGTTATTATTAAACTCTTTCCTTTTTGTGTTTGATTTTTTAATCGACAAGAGATCGGTTCCATAAAGGCTTGTTATTTAGTTTTGATAGAGGTTTGTTGCCAAATTCTTGTTACTGTACGTCCAGCATTAACCCATGTCTTGTCTTAATAAAATACCTGTTTATGCTATTCCTTGCGTCCGCTATTTTTCTTACATAATCATGTATCCACTCAATGATTTCATCTCTCTCTGTTAAAAAGCTGTTTTTGTCACGTTTGTTGTAAAGAAAATTTAATTGATGCAATATATTTTGCAGATGAAAATATGATATGTTTAGAAGAGTGTAATTTTTTGTGTGGGAATTTCATTTCGAAAGAAAAAAGTATGTACCATTTGCCTTATTACATTCTTTACCCAAGTTTTAATAAAGGTCTTGTTTCTTACTAGGGGCATTTTCGGATGTGAGACTTCTCCAATAACTGTTTCTTCTTTAATAATGCTATACACTGTCCGCTTAAATACTCCAATACAGGTCTCACATTTAGTGGCTATTTCATCCACAGAAAGTAAAATAAAGTCTTTTCGAAGATTATTAAATACATTAAGTACGATACTTTTTTCTTCTAAAGATAATGCTTTATGTCCACTAGGTCGTTTACGCGTACTTATACTTGCAATATTTTCTAATTCACTGGCCATTCCTTTATGACTGTAAAATATATAATTATACAAAATTCCGAATCAATTAAAATACATACGATACGGCTATAAATAAATAAAGTCTGACTATAATATCAATGCTCAACCCCATCGATATTATGTCATCACTTATCTGGAAAGATAATAAATGTGTTATTTTTTTATCAATTTACTCCTGCAAGCATCCAATATCAACTGTCAAACGATATGAGAAAAAATAAGGCAGGAACATAGAGATAGAGTTCCCAATATTATTCAGGAATACACCCGTCACATGGAAGTAGTTGACCTGATGGACAGGTTTATAGGAAGGTACCGAATTCAACTAAAAAGCAGAAAATTTTACCTGCATATTTTTTACCAATTACTGGATTGATTTACCAATGGTAAATGCGTGGCTTTTACATAAAAAAGTTATGACAGCAGAAGGAAGGCAGGCAGAAATATTGCAGCAATAAAATTTTACGAACATAGTTGCCTACTGTCTTTGTAATGTGGGAATAAAATCTGCTGCTAAACGAGGCAGACCAAGTTCATTAGATCAGGAAATCCAAACCAAGATGCAGAGAGCATTTACCACCAAAAGAAGTGCGATGTGACCAAGTTAGCCAATGGCTAGTTCTTGCAGAGGCTACCATGGATATACTCATGTCATTTGAGAAAAATGTGGCGTAGTATTATGTTTTAACAAAAAAAAATTGTTTTAATATATTTTATAACTAACCTGTTAATAAGTGAAAAATGTACAATGTTGCATATCTGCAACCATGTAAAATTTTGAAAATAATATTTTAATATTTTTCCCAACTACCTGAAATGTTTTGAAAAATCAAAACAAAACAAACAAATCATGCATTTAAGGGTTAAAACGCCGTTTAGTAATGTTACTCATCACCCTACAGTGAGCTGCGGGCGTCATAAGTAAGGGTGAAAATAAAAGAAGAGAAATATCTAGAAATGTTATTTTACGTTAAGAAACATCTGGACGTTCCGGTAAGTTTCTAGAAGGTTAAAGTGAGCTATATAAATCGGTGATCCTGACGTCAGAGTGGCAGTTTTATGATAGACGTTACACGTTAATATTATCAGTTGTTGAATTATTGTAAAAGTTGCGTAAAAATTAATTGAGATACTAAAAACCTGCGTAACAGTATGTATTGAGTATTTAAATTTAACAACCAAAAACTTAAAATTAATTTTGAAGAAAAAGGAGTTAGGAATAAAATGTTTTTTTTTTGTGATATTCAAAGTATTTTTGGTTTGTTTTCTTCATCCTTAAAATAGTTTTTTATCAATTACTTATAAACTGAACGACTATTCAGCATTTTTATTTCATACAAACCCAAGTAGGGTATGCCGCACTTTAGACCATCACCTCCACTTTTTACGACGTCAGTGAGATGCCATCTAACCACCTGTGTCATGTTAGCTCCTAGCCAGCCAGCTCCAAAACCAGCCAGAGCTCAAAGCGCCAGCGGTCGAAATATATTCTTTTACAACTATTTATTGGGTCTAAATTTTAATTTAAAGATTACGACATCTTCAGTATAATTTTAATTATTTTCATTATCCTTTATATAATTATATTAAGGAATTTAAAGGGATGATAATATATTTCAATAATTTTGGAGCTGGAAAAAATTTAGTTTTTTCTTTAATTTTATCAAGTCAATCGATAGGTAATACACAATTTTTTAAAAATTTGACCAATTCAAAATTATTTTAATAACTACCACCTGACACAATAACATAATGTAATTAATCTACGGTGCGATGTACCAAAATCTAGTAATTTTTTGTTTTATCCATTTTACATTTAAACAATAAAGAAAGCGAATGGACTTGGGGTAATTTCTAGACTGTACTAATGTTTCTGAAATATCAGGAAAAGAATAAATAAATAAAATATATTATTTAAAATCCTCTGATTCTTCCTATGAAGAAATTATAGACGTTGTTCGCCATTTTCGCGTTAGAAATGGTCTTTTTCAAGGATATAGGATAACAAACACTTTTAGTAACGGTATTTTTTATTTTATTGACATCTGTGGTCAATAACCATCTCGAATAACAAATATTTATGGACATCCATAAAGTTTCTGGAACTTTTAAAAAAATTCGTCTTTCATTTTCCGATATATAAATATGACAACACGACTTTAAATTGTACATCGAGTGAGAATATGTCAAAGCTATGATGAATTTCTATTGAGCAATAGTTATATATATATATATATATATATATAAGTTCTCAGAAATGCTTTATTATTTATTAAACACATAATTTTATCGGACCGATAGTTATTCTTTCAATAACGAAATGTGCCGATAACCGGCCATAAAAATGGCGTGTAATATGATGTAACCAATATTAAAAATAAATATTTTAATCTTACCTTGATTAAAACAAATAATATTACCTAACCTAACAAAATGGCGTTTTCCTGAATTAGCCACATAAAGGACACTAGCTCTAACCTAAAATGAAATTAGTATGTAGTCGTTTTTGTAGCTGCAGTTATTTGCTTATATCTCTTGAACGAATCAAGATTTCGATCTGGAGTAAACATAATAAGATCCAACATTCCTCACTTTGAGTTTTTCTGTAACTAAGGTCCTTTTAGTAATTAAAGAATAATCTATGACTCACCAGTCCATTGCAAGCCGATAACGCGACTCTCGATCCCTCTTGTCCAGCTATATATCCTTGAAAATGACAGTTCGTCTTTGTTACCAAAGGTTCTTCCCTTGTGAAATTATCTTTTCTTCTTCTCTCGACGATTATGGAAGGAATAAAGAAATTATTTGAAGGTTTGAGGACTAAAAAGTGCACATCTTCGTCTATTGAAACATTGAAGTGGACGAACTCTGAAGGGTTATTGTAGAAGGTTGTGATGTCGTTGGTTAGGTGATCACCTTTCGAGGTGACTTTTTGAGGGATGGTTTCGTGGACGCTAGAGATTGTGTTTGTGTAGAGTCCTGAAAATAAAAAATGTAACTGTTACTCAGAGTAAAGAGGTATAGGTAAACAATGTTTGTGAAGCTGTGGTAATATGGTCGAGAATCGTTTCTAGAAGTTTAATCTCTGTTTTTGTCTTCCGAGTTAGGTTTTAATAATTATTTAATTTTTTTATTTTAATTTGTTCAAGTGTGCTAGTCTTAAAACTGATAGTAGTAGCCCATCTGCATTTTAGAACTGTTAATACTCATTACTAGAGCTTGGATTATATGCAAAATGCATATAAAGTGCATGCCTGCATATTTAGTGCAGAATTTTATATTGCATATCTAAAATAATAATGCATATTTTCTTAAATAATAATGCATATCTAAAAATAAAATATTGCTTATTTATCATTATTTTGTAAACAATTTAATATTTTTTAATTGCACCTTCATTTTACCACGAAATATTAATCAAATGGGTATTTTGCTTTCTAAACTACTAGGTATTAAGGATTAGGGCAATTAAGGGATGATTGATAGCAAATGGCTCCATAAAATTTAACTGTTTTTGTGTAACAGGTAGTTCATGCAGTATTATTCAAAATTTCTTTTGGTTAAGTATTGTTATTGGTTGTGTTTCTGCAAAAGTGCCGTTAGTGTGAAAGTAAAAGCGTTCATTTTAAAAATGCCGAAACCAGCTACGGGAAAAATGTAAATGATGAAGAAATGGATCTATGAAAAAAGTGATTTGAGAATCGTAGACTCAAATTATGTTTTTTGCTCCACCTGCGATAAACTGGTAAGGATAACTAACATTTTTGATACAAGAGCTATTATACTAAATTGTTTTTTCGGATTTCATCTAATTTTTTAAAAAAATCAACAATATACCTAATAGTATTTCTTTTTTTTTAAATAAGGAAATGTTCATTTTCGGCGTACAAACATATTTTAAGTGATAGAATGCAATGTTTCACTATTGAAAACATTGAAAAAAAATCTGATGTGTCCAACACATGACTTTCCTATCTAGGTATTACAGGCTTTTCCGGTTATTTTGTACAACCTATTGCAGCACCTCTATAAATGTTTAGAGGATAAACTAAGTATATACATTTTCCACATACATATAACTCGAAACATTTTTCTATAGATATATTCATTGAAAACGAAAATACTAAAAAATTTAAATTTAGCACTATTCCCCCAATTTTTCTATTACGGTCCATTTTAGAAAAATCATGTAAAAAGCAAAAATTATAGAGATCGATATCGAAAACAACTTTTAGTTTAACAATTTTCTTAATAATTCGAATTTTGCACATTCTGTCCAATTTCTCGAATACGGACCATTTCAGGAAAACATGGCATATAACAAAAATTATAGACAATAATATTAGAAGTAATTTTTATTTAAACAATTTTCTTCTCCAAACATAAATAACAGATATATTCCATAAAATATAAAAATGACCACCAATAAAGTACCCCCCAGATGTTCCGACTCTGCCCAAAATCTAATCTGTTTATTGGACGCCGGAATAAAGCTTAAGTTTAAAATTTGGTGTTTTTCTTTGTATCGGTTCATGAGTTATGGTGGATACAGACACACAGACACACACACACACACAGAGACATCATCCCGAAAATAGTCGAAACATATTCAGGGACCTCAAAACGTAAAAATCCGTCGAAAATTGGAGGTCGAAAAAAATCATGATTCCTATACTTTCCTTATCTGTATACAGATAGGAAAGTAATATTTAATAACTGTTTTCATTCTAATAATAATAATAATAATTAATTAGATGTAATTGATAGAAATGTAAAATCATTTAATCATATGTTTAAAAAGTCTATAATAACATTTTTAATATCAAAAATGACTGTATTTTTATTTTGCATATTTAAAAACATATTTTGTCTATTGTTAATGCATACATATTTAGACCATTTTTTAGTGCATTTTTTCCAAGCCCTACTCATTACTTGGAAGATACTTTAGTTGTTCAATCACTCTCATTTCAGGCTGCTGTACGAACGTCTGCAGATAGTTATAAATAATTTTAATTTCATTTATTTGCTATGTTGTATGTAGGGTGTGTCAAAATGCGAGGTTATGTTTTTCTTAATTTTTTAAATGGAATGCCCTGTATGTAATAACACCAATTAATTAATACAGGATATTCTATTGAAAAAATTTAGAAAATCGTAACCTCGTATTTTGATACACCTTATATATAAATAAAGTCAATTAAAATTATTTGACGACGTGAAAACAATCAAATTTGTATAACTACCTGCAGGGTGTTTTGCTTTATTGCTTTAATAAAAGTATAGGTATATTTAAGAATAATTGATAAAAAGTGTCAAACAACTTTTACATTAATTTTTTTTTCGTATTTCCAATAATAAAACAGCTATCGATGAATTACGCACTGATATGACACCCTGCTGTATATGTGTTATTGGCTAACATATTGGTATTGTTGGATAGGTAAATTTATAAGTAATTGTATGCTAAAATATTATCCCGGGTGATGGTTTTGAAAAAATTGAGAGAATTAAACTTAAAAATAGCCAAATTTAAGACGTGTTTCAAAACACTTGGTAAAAAGAAATTCAGCACTATCACCACTATTCGTGTGTCTATAATAAACAATTTTGAAATTAATGTAATACTATCAGAATTAGGATAATTTAATTTGGGATCTGCATTATTTTCTAATTTCATAAAAATTTAATTTCTTGGCAAACCTGCAATATTTTTGTAATTTCCTAAAAACATTCTAGGGTTGAATACAGTATTACCAAACCATTTTAAAATTGAAATAAAATACATGTTGTTCTATTTAAAAAATTTGCCAGGCAAAAATGTAACACCCTGTATCAAAAAAAATCCTTATGTATTTTTCAAATCCATATAACTTTTCTTTGATACTTGTTTGTGAGTCTTTAACAAAAATTAAAATTTTGAACATTTACGCACTAATAGGACCTTTCAATATTAAAATTTCGACTTGAAATTTTCAGGATCTTTATGATTTTTCTTATAGAAAAAAATAAAATATTGAGAAAAAAAATTAAAACAAAAAAAAAATTTTTTTGAGCTGTCCTTTGAAGGGGGCTCTTAAAACATGATAAACTAACATATTTTTATAGAAGACTTAAATAAAAAAAATGTTTGCTTTTTTTGGACCATCTTAATAAACATGGGTATGTACACATGCAGTCAACGTGTTAACTCAGGTTCCTAATAAATATAACATTCAGAAGAAGAAAGCAAGTCCCGCAAATGTACAGTGATGCCAGATCATTCGGATCTGAATTTCATTGAAATACAATAAAGTTATTTCCCTTTTTCACCCACTTTATAATGAAATTCGTCCGAATTATCGATGTCTTGCGGAGAAGTCTGAATTCAGTTTTTGAAAGAATTATCGTATAAAATAATTATTGTACATCTGGCAACGTTTGTAGCTAACTGGAACGACGCGAGACAAATATATGAAAATAACGAAAAGGACAGCATACAGCTGTATCACCAATTCAAAAATAGGTACCTCTAAACAATTATTCACCTACTAAAACCATCTCTAAAATAGGTGGCAATATTATTTTTATATGGTAATCTCCATGTCACTTCTACTTAAAAATAGATGTACTACACAATTATAGGTATTCATATAAAATCTCTACTTTGATAAATACATTTCTCAAATATTTGTTAATCGTAATTCCGGTTAGATTTGAAAACTACCCAATAAAATTTAGAAATATTTTGGCGGGATACTTGTAAAAATATGTAGAATGAAATTTCCTACGTTTTAGCTCTGGTTTTAAAATCACTTATTATTTTTTTTTTTTTTTAATTCAGTATATAAACAGGACAAATAAAAAGTAGATTTTATTCTCCAAACCTTATGCTTTAACCTGATAGAAGATTCATTTTAATACATTTAGAGGAATTTAAATGCAATCAGAAATGGTGAACCCTTGCTTCTTATAGTAAAAATACAGCAGTGAAACTGCGGCCTTAAGTTCCTTGGTTAGTTTTTGTCTCGGATGTTTTGTTGTGAGATGGAAAAATACATTGAAACTGCGGCCTTAAAACTAATTTTTTTATTTCGTAAGGATAATTTTCTTATTAATGTGAAAAATGCCAAAAATTTTTGAAGTTTCGGATCATAAAATCGATAATTTTGAGATTTTTAAAACGATTTTTTTTTAATTTAAGAATATTTTTAATTTTTTTCAAAAATTTAACATTTCCAAATTTAGAAATTTATATTGAAATTTATATTAAACTTTATATTGAAATTTAGCTATACCCATACCATATGAGCAATATATTTATTTTATATAAATTGCGTAGCTCTGATTTAATTGCTGCATTTATTTGATGCGTATCCATCACATTTATTTTAATAAAAATTTATTCTAATTAATTAATACTATTCATGCGATAATTTTTCTTTTATTGAAATTAATTAATAACCTAATATTTTATTCATTTAATGAGCAATTGTTATTTTGTTTCTTTTAATTGGTCATTTTAATAAAACATTGCGTTTATTGTATTGTCAGTTTGATTTAATACTATTATGCAAAATAGACGTGACAATGTGTAAAAAATGTATATATGTTTGTTGAATGTTAGATATGTAACAAAAGAGGAGCGCTAAGAATTTATTTATTGATTTTGTCTCATGTAAAAAACATTGTTTATTGGTTGGGTGTATAAACCATAGTAATTAATTTAAATAAACAAACTCTGAAAAGAAATAGTGCCTTTTAAGAGGAGATAGAAAACTCCGTCATTCTGAACAATTATTACGTGTTGCCTACATCTTGGCGCAATAGTTTTAGTGGTTATGTTATAATATTTACCAAAAGTCAGTCCAGAAAAATATTATTTACGAACCTATACTTTACAAATCCATTAAAATATAATGAATATCTTGAAAACCTTACTTTACTTGGTGATTTTATGTTAAATCTTTCCATTTGTAAGTAACAGTAACTACTTTATT